CGCTCAACTCCTCCTCTAAAATAAAATCAAGATCGTCTCGAAGACCAGTCCAGCTGTAAGAAAATATATATATATAACTAACGTAATTGACATTCTTGGTAGCATTGAGCATATCGTTGCGGCACAGCAACGGTCAGTACCTGCCAATATTTGCCTTGCTTCTCTCAAAACACTCCTTAATACAAGTAACACAAGCCCCATCATCGTCTATAAGTTTGCATCCACAACCCTGCATACACAGAAGATAGGAATCGTTTAGAAGAAAGGGAGAGCACCCGTATACATTGGATGTAAGGAAACTAAATTGTACTTTCGAAGTGCCGAAAAAAACTCACTTCTGACCGCTTAATTTTAGCAATTATCTATTTTATTAACAGCAAGAGATTTTATTGTTGCATCTACTTTACCCTAATTGCAAGGCAGTATATGCAAAACTCTGTATCCAGGCCTTTTCCTCCCAGTTTCCAATGTTCATCTTCGCAGCAAGATTTTTTCTTCATTAGCATACTGAGGGCTTTGTAGTCTGCTGTTACTACAAAAAATGACAGGAGATATAATAATAACTACATACTGAAGAGTTATAGTGTGCGGTAAAACAAGTAACGTCCTTAACAAACAAAAGAAACAGTAGCAGTGTAAAACAGCGTTTTTAGAATAACAGCTCTTTCTTTACACCATAACAGGGTAGTCGTGGCCAAGACGGAGAAAACTGTTTCTCACCTCCAAAAACGATGGAATTTGCGGGCCACACGGCAAATTGCTGAGTCATTTCACTCGTTACATTTCTATATTCCTTCTTTGTAATTTTTTTTTCGTTTGCTTTCTTTTAGCACTTATTTTACGTACAATTTAAAACTAGGGTAATTCTAAATTTGGTGTAAATTCGTTTGAAGGGAACACAGTCGTCGAGATTCATAGAGTTGTAAACGTTGTGTTACTATCTAACCTGTAAATTTAACTTTGTACTCTTTACCGTCCACGGTAATTTTTTGGCTCTTGATAGCTCTTTTCTGTCGGTTTAATGCTTGTAGCAGAGCTTCTATTTCCTTCCTGAAATAACCATTTATTATGGAAAATTTTATTGGTATTATTTGAAAATTATCATCATAATTTATTATTATTATATTACTATAGCCACAACAAAATGTCAACGGCACCACAATCAGACAAATACAGCTACTCGGTACTACAGTCCTCTTACCGAGATTCTTCGCAATTGGCTATTGCAAGGGGATAGACAGATTTTGAGCTCTGGACTTGTATTCCTGAATGACTCATTGGTACAAGACCGATAAGTACTTGGTCTCTTCCTGTTGAATTTTAATACAGTTCAGACAGTTACTTCTACTTCGTCTCTTCGGTTTGCATTAATATATAATATTATCTCACCTCCTAAAATTCTTCCATCAAGCTTTATATTAAATTCCATTTCTGGATGATCTTGACCAAATAGTCTCATTTCTCTGATTCCCCAAATAATTGCACACTTAAGATCGACCTCATAAGCTTGTTTGCCTACATCGTCACGCTTACAAATTCCCATGGACTTTTTAATAATATTAAAAATCATTTTTCTGACAGCTTTGATCTGATTTTTTGTAAGAAGTAGAGGTGTGTCGTTGGAATTCTAAAAAGAAACAAGATATCAAACTAATTTAACCATACTATTAATATAACTACTTTACAACATTATAGAGCACCTACCCTGCCACCTCTACCAAGATGAGTTATATTTAGAAGCATTTGCCAGGCATTGTCAGGTATTTTTGCTTGGATTTTAAAATACAAAAGAACCCAGTCCGGCTGTCGCAATTCCTTAAAATAGCTGACCCATTTATCGCTTGATAATAGTGTCTTGAATCCGTCTCGAGTTCCCTTTTGCTCAACTAGGAGATCTACTATTTCATCCATAGTACTTTGTACATTCTCGTCATCACCGATTAATCTGTGACCTAGGATTGACCCCAGGGATTCTCTATGTGAAGAGCAGATATCGTCTATTTCACTGAAAATTGACTTCGTTCTTTTTTCCACGTTTTTCCTCTTGTGTAAGGGACGTACATTATTATTGTCCTGAATATCTTTCAAGTTAGGTGATATTTCCAACAAAGCGGATTTACTTGAAGGACTAGAGCTCGACGAAGGCGGGAAACTTTGTCCACTGTCATCACTAGAAGAGCTAGAGCTTTCTCTCGAACTTAAGTATTCTTTGACTTCCTTCGCCTTTATCTTGGATGTCCCAGCTTTCTTACAATCTTTGAGGTGCTTCTGGAGATTCAATATTTCTTGTGCTTGATTTTTTAATTGTTCTTCAAGGTCGTCGATGATATTATGATTCGTATCCGGTTTGTCCAAAGAAATTATTGAATTTGACTCAAAATCAAAAGAATTTGCAAAATCGATAAAAGTTTGGAATTCTTTTGACTCGATGAGCTGATTATTCTTTTGGTTTAGCAAACCGAATGCAATAGCGAATGAGCTGGCAACAAATACCTCKTCTTTCGAGCGACCACCATCGAAATGTTTTGGACTGCATTTGGCGCCACTTTCAAGATACAAACTTTCTAGAGGAAGCTTAATAATTTCACCAGGAAACCGCTTGGCCAGAGAAGAATTGACGAAATATCGAGTTTGGCCGCCGCACATTTCGTTTGTGACAGCATACCAGTTCTTTAGAGGACTTAGAAGGGTCGAGAAGACCCTTCTAAACAACATGCCTTCTTCATTCACTGTAAGCTTTGAATTACGCGCGCTATATGATATCTAGTTACTCGATTTTATTTTTAACTAATGTTAAATATTTTAATATAAATAGTTTAAAAACAGCGTTATAAAATCGCAGGGCGAAAATGATATACCCCAAGTGTTGACATGAATGCGACTTT